GGGAGGGCGTGATCAGCTACTCTGGCTTTTTTAGAGGTTCTTCTTCTTCTTCTTCTTCTTCTTCTTCTTCTTCTTCTTCTTCTTCTTCTTCTTCTTTCTTCTTCTTCTTCTTTCTTCTTCTTCTTTCTCTTTTCTTCTTCTTCTTCTTCTTCTTCTTCTTTCTCTTTTCTTCTTCTTCTTCTTCTTCTTTTCTTCTTCTTCTTCTTCTCTTCTTCTTCTTCTTCTTCTTCTTCTTCTTCTTCTTCTTCTTCTTCTTCTTCTTCTTCTTCTTCTTCTCTTCTTCTTCTTCTTCTTCTCTTTCTTCTTTCTTCTTCCTTTCTTCTTCTTCTTCTTCTTCTTCTTCTTCTTCTTCTTCTTCTTCTTCTTCTTCTTCTTCTTCTTCTTCTTTTTCTTTGTTGTTTAGTTTCAAATTCTGATTTGGGCCTTTTTAATATTCATTAAATTAATATAAATTTCCTTTCTCCTCATCTATCCTTCCTCATCCATCACTCACAGCTAATTGCTACCCAACACTTCCCCCCTTGAGGACTAGAGACCCTACAGTCTTTTAGGGAGTGGGAAGTCATAGTCAGTCATTAGCTATTTGCTGCTGATATGGGAAATAGGCTTAGCTCAGGGATCTGTTGTCCTTGTTCTCTGTTAGTGGAGACAGCTGGAATCCAGGTCATGGATGATCCAAGGGGCCCTGTAGAAGGTGGAATGTCCTTTGGAGATCATAACCAGAGGTAGTTGTGTTTAAGGAGGAGGAGCCATGCTCAGAGTTTAGCAGAGTTAGCCTTTGAGTTGTATCATTTGTAGTTTTATAGCCTGTAGACAAAAGGAAACAAGTTGGTTAAAACTTATTGTAAAGTTTAATATGGAACATCTGTATTTCTCCTGGAGCTATAGAAATAGTGAGTGGTAGAAAGGCAAGGGGAGTTTTTGTCCAGTTGGAAGGAAAACATGGGCATCAGATAATCAAGGCTATGAATCACACCTTTTTACGCTCTCAGCTTTAATTGCTTTTGGATGGGCAGGGCACATGTGACTCCATTTTAAACCTGACAATTTTCATTTCCCTTCTTGTGAACAGTTTAGTCTTTTTAAAACTGTTTTGAAAGGTCTCTCATCACTGGGATAACTTCATCCCAGTAGGTCTTTCCTTGTTGCCAGGATAAGATGTACAATTGCGTCTGATTTGGAGGGGAGCGACAGGAAGGTCAGGTAGGAAGGAGATAATGCACTTAGACTCTTTTTTGGCCACATTTAAGCATCACAGAGGTTTAGAAGAAATGGCACTTAGGCTTGGCTTACCTGAATTACATTAAGTTTAATTTTGGCTGTTTTATAGATTATATCCTGGCATCTTAAAAAATGCTCCTTAGTTTAGTTTGTTAGATAGAAGTTGTACTTTTGTAGAACATCAGCAGGCAAAAGTTAAAGTTTTACAAGGAAAATAAAACAAAACCAGTCAGAGAAAATACTTAAAGAAACAACAGTTTAAAAAATAAGTACTTGCTGCAGATGTTTTCTATGAGTTTGATTGTAAATGCCTTAGAGAAAGAGTCAAATTGTAGATGACCAGAACACTTAGAACAGTCATTGTTAGAATTTTTAATTTTTTTTAGCAAAGTACATGTCCCTGCTATTAAAATTCAGGAATAATTTACATTTTACAATCCTCGTTAGATGTTTACTGTTATACATTCAGTATAAAACTGCATAAAATCATTGGATTTATGAGGAAGAAGGGTGAGAACATCTTTTGTATTTAAGTGGGGATTGTTCTGACCAGTCTAGTTGGGATACAGGTCAAACTCTGGGACTAGCCCAAAGATATATGGCAAGTAAGATTACCCAATACTGGGCACTGTTCTCTGCCCAGACTTGGTTTCTAGTATGGTTGTGCTCTGAGAGCTGAGGTTTTTATAATAACATTCTCATGGAATTAATAGAGCTACCTGTGACATTTTCATTATTAAAAATGACATTCTTGACGGTTACCCTGTAATTCAAAGCCCATGTGAATAAAGGCATTGTTCTGAAACCTGGTAGAAGCTAAGAGGGGCCTGTTTGGCATTTTCACATAATTGATGAAATATGAAATTGCATTATTTTGCACTAACCCTGGATAATATCTATTTATTCTTACTCAATTTTTAATCAGCACATGGGAAGAATTCTGACATTCTGATTGGGTTTCATTGCCAGAAATACAGTAACTTCTTTTAAAAGAAGAAGTTTTTGTTTGATGCTGGTCACAGACTTGGCCAGGTTGGTTCTTCAGGCTTAGTCCTTCTCCACCTGGGAAATGTTAGAGGTAAGACCCCTCAACACCATCGGAGTCAAGGCAAAATTTACTTCTGCAGAAGGGGACACAACAAGCAGGAGGAGCTGGAAGTCTGTGGCAGTCTGTCCTCATCCTATTCCTGACACCTTGGGTTCTCCCCCTTTACTTGGATTGGTCAAGCTTGGGTTCACAATCTGCTCACTTTTGGATGAAATTTGACACTAGCCCAGGGGAGGGACTAACATTTGCAGTTTGACAGGCAAGTTTGGCAGCAAATGGGGCTTAACAAGAATCTGAAAGAAGAACCGGGAACTGCAAGCAGTTAAGATGGACACACTTTGATAGAAAAGACTGCTTCCTTCAGAAAACAAATATAGTTCCATGGACAGCTAACAGTTACAGGTTGTAGCTATCATTACTTCATTTGATTAAAATAAATCCCCAAGGACCTATTTGGGGCCATGTAATATATACAAAATATATTAGAACACAATAGAATATAGTAATGAAAATAATGGTACACAAATGGTGAGCAAAAGAACTATTGTTGAGAGATTCTAAAGTCATGGAATCTTTATTTTGTGGGCTAGCTGGATTCTCTGACTCAATTTACCTGCTTAATTCGAGAATCTTTTGTACTGTCTCTGTACCTGTGTACATGCACACACAAGTGTCTGTGCACATATAATCTTCCATCTCTTGACATATTTGTAACACTGATTTCTTGTCATTCTCTATAGTAGAACCAATACATGCAATTTGAAGGAAGGTATTTTCAACCTATTTAGTTATCACATATGTAACCAGCATCTCCTTTATATTCTCCCTAAAGAATGTAAAGCTTTTAAAGGTTTCCACTTTAGCTGTCACCACACTTATCTCAGCAAGCCCTGTCTGATTCGGTATTGTTATGGATAAAGTAGATGAAGGCCCTGAGGGCAAGTCCATCAAGTTTGCAGATGTCACTAAGCTGTAAAGGAGGGCAATCTATGATGGATGACAGACACAGCATTTAGAAAACATTGTGGCAGGCAGGTGAGATGAGATAGATCTAACAAGGTGAAATGCAACAGGGACAAAACATCAAGTAATATACTTGCTTCCCTAAACAACTGACTACCCAAGATGGGACAGGGTTTAGTAAGGCTTTAGTCTTCACTAAGCTCAATATAAGTCAACACTATGACATAACCAAAATAAGAAAATAAATACTGAAATCAGACTGCATTAAAGAAAATAGGACACTTAAAACAAGTCCCAGTTCACTCTGAATTATTGAAGATGCATATTCAGTTCTCTCTCAGCTAACTCACTTGAGGTATGGAGATAAATTTCTACTCCCCAAATTATAAAGATTAAATGTGATAATAAATAAAAAAGATTTGGCATAATGAATAGAACAAGGTAAGTTCAATTTATTGTAAATAATAATGACGAAGATGAATAACATGAACATGGTGCTTGAAAATACTCAAAACTTGGAGAATTCAACTGTTGTCAGTGAACAGATGAAAGGTGATGGGAACTGCTGAAGAAGTTAGAGATGTTTAACCCAGAGTTGAGACAACTCAATGAATATGTAAGAACTGAAGATTGAAATGTGATATAAGGTTTTGGGCGTTCTACAACTACAAAGAGTAAAATCAGTGGTGAAAGATAACAAGATGTCCAGTTTTTCACAGTAAGGCACATACACAGATGTACACTTTGAGTGCCTCCTACAGTGGTAAGTTCTTCAAGACTACAGTGCTTCAAACATAGTATTGATGATTTTAAGTTAAGTATAAGTAGTATATGGAAGATTGGTTCCTTGTCCTTTAAAATACCTCGAAACTCTGACATTCTTTAGTGTTCAGCAAAGTTGTTATAATCATAAATAGTGGTCACAGATCTTACTACATTTTCAGCTTCTCCATTGTCTGAGGTGTGAAATTATTGTGAGTAACAGACATGAAATAAGACCCACTACAAAATTTTCAGTCTTAATGTTTAAGTGCTATTGACCTTCAGTGGTTTATAACTGAGAACTAAGGGTCAGTACTCCAGAAATTGTCTTATGCCTATAATTTGGTGAAGTGCTTCAAGGTGGAAGGTGTGACCAGGTTATAAGCTCTTCTAATAAACAACCTAAATTTTTCTCTTGCAGAAGAAAAATTGTTTTAAAACCATAGGCTTAGACATCATGTTAGCTATGTAACTTTGTATAAGATATTTGGCCTTTTTGGGTCTTGGTTAATTTTCTGTAAATAAGGTACGAGGAGACTTCCTTCCAGAGTTGGGACAGAGATAGAATTAGATGAATGCACTTGTACATGTTGGGTGGTATCCTTATGAATTAGAAAATGTGGTAGTATGATTTTTCCATCGAAATGAGTTCTTGTTCATATATACATTTTAGTGGTTCATTTTAAGATCTGAATAATTTTCAATCAGAAATATGATGCTTTACAGAAACATTGAGGTAAAAAGACATTTCTAAGAACATACTAAGTTTTTTGTTAAAGTTAGAAATTTTTAACTTGGATGGCTCTGCAGGCAATCTCTGGGGAAAAAAAAGTGTATGTTTGCATACACACACGCAAACGTGCATCTGGTTTTAAATAGAAGGTGACTAGGGAATGACTAAGAAATCTTTTCTATGAGCTCTGTGAAGTATAAGGTTTGGGTTTCACAGTGCAGCTGTCCTATATTTCCCTAGTGATAAAACCTCCTTAACCTCATTTCTAAACAGGATGGGAAGATATTCTGCCGACGGACAGTTTGTGATTGCCAGAACCCAAGTGTTGACCTTTTCTGTTGCCCGGAGTGTGACACCAGGGTCACAAGTCAATGTTTAGATCAAAATGGACACAAGCTGTATCGAAGTGGAGACAACTGGACCCATAGCTGCCAGCAGTGTCGGTGTCTGGTATGTCTGTTTCCTGTGTTGTCCCTTTATTTTGGAAGTGGTTACACACTCAGTTGCTTGTGGGCTCTAGTTTAAAACTTTTTCTAATATTGTGCATGGAGTTCTGGGTGTGGGTAACTAAGTGATAAAGAACTAGAATCCAAACCTTGTTAGTTCTCCATGTGCTGGGTTAGCGATGTTCTAGTGTTTCACTGATTATTCTTCCCCTGAAGGGTACAGAGGCATGAGTACTTGTTTCAGAAAACTGTTAGGAAGATTAGGAAATGTATATGATGGACAAATACAGTACTTGACAAACAGAAGGCAGTTAGCTCAGTGCTGTAAAATGCACCTAGCCTGATTGCTACTGTTGTTAATATTTCCTACTTCAAAAAAGTCTGTTTCAGATGCTAAGTGTTTATATAGAAAAATTAAGATTGTTTTAGATATTGATATAGGGATAGTAACAGTGTGGAAAAGTCCAGAGAAAAGATTTAATTTCTGGGACTATCTCATTGTGTTTCAAACAATGATTTCTAAGGAGGGGAGAATTTGAGATACATTATCATACCAAACATGATGTTCCATCTGTGAGGTGGTCATAACTATGGAGTAGTCTACCTGAGTCAACTTGTAAAGGAAACTCTTAGGCTAGATACTTAACATTTGTTGAAATGAATTTTTCAGCCCATGGGTACTATATGAAAATAAATATTCTGAGGAATTAGCCTCTATATTTCCATCAAATTTTCTAAAACCTCTGTGTAAATGTGCAGATAATCTTAATAACATACATCCTTCTTAATCATTCCTATTACTGAGGAGTATAATTCACATAAATTCAGATCACAGTCTTTGTTTTTCAAATTCCCATCTGAGGACAAACATATCCAATGTAACCATAAAATTGACTTCCTGATCAGTCTAGAAAACTGCATTTGTTTTTCAAAGAGCCAGCTATTAGGTAGCAAGAGTGATTGATATTACTCTGGCTTATACATGAAATTTTCATAGATAAAATTTCAAAAGTATATCTCCCACTCCCCAGTCCCTAGTGTGAATATTTTGGAAAAAAACAGAAAACTGTTTATCACTCACTTACGAATTAGAATAATTTGGCTTAAATTTGATAAATGTTTATCAAGAGTTTGCATGTGCTAGACTCTGGATGATATACTAGTGTGTAAGACAGACATGGTCGATATTTGTAATAGCTCATAATCTGTGAACTGACTGAATAAACGAGAGTCACCATGTCTTATAAGTGACATAACAACAGAAGAGGCTGCATAGAAAAACAGTTCTATGATGGGCAGCTCAATGGAGTTACAGTAGGCAGATGCTGAGCTACGTAGAGGCTCCATTTTAATTTTAATATAGAAATTTTACTAGTATATTGTATCAAATTTTTAAAAAAAATGATTTCCCTAATAATGCCCAACCTCAAGTTTAAATTTGATACAAACAACTCAGTTTATCAAATTGTCAAAATATTATTGTGCTTCAGGCTCCACTTTTGACCTTAAGAAAAATTAATACCTCTTTATATACTATCTAGGAACCTATCATTCATTTACTTGTTTGTGTTATTAGCATTTATTGACCAAAACTGTGCTAAGAATCAGGGAGAGAAAGAAAGCAGCCCAAAGTTGAAAGCTCAATATTTAATGTGGATGCACTAATTATGATACAATCCTAAGTATCATGATAACAATAAGCTACGCTTGGCACACAAAGAAGCCAATTTAAATCCTTTTTGTAGACTGTAGCACAGGTGGTCCTTTTTTTTTTTTTTTTTTGCAAAAAAGCAAAAGCGTCTTGAAAAAGGTGCTATTCCTTGAATGTCTTCATAGAGAAAGTGAATTGCACCCATACAACACTAACTAGGAACATTCAAGGAGGGGAGTGATAAGACTTACTATGCTCTCTTTTACCCTTTGGGACTTGTGAGTAAACCTGTTCATAGGAGCAATGATGGCTTTCTGTCTACAGGAAGGGGAGGTAGATTGCTGGCCGCTCACTTGCCCCAATCTGAGCTGCGAATACACAGCCATCTTGGAAGGGGAGTGTTGTCCTCGCTGTGTCAGTGACCCCTGCCTTGCTGATAATATTGCCTATGATATCAGAAGAACTTGCCTGGACAGTTATGGTGTTTCAAGGCTCAGCGGTGCAGTGTGGACAATGGCTGGATCTCCCTGTACAAGCTGTAAATGCAAGGTACTTGGATAATCTGGGGATGTGCAGGCTTTGAACACTGGCAAGAGGCTTGGTCCTCATGTTTCTGAAGGCTTGGGTTTTATAGGGCATGATGAAAACACAGGTAGACATTTACTTTTTATAGGAGGTTAATATATCTGAATTAATCACTGCTGTACTTTGATTAAGGAAAATTCCACATGGGCACGTAATAAAACAATGTTTCTTGCCTTTAAATGACAGGATTTTAACAAAATGACTGTAAGCCCAATTATGGCTGATTTGAACTATTTTGGCCTTCATGTTAGAAAAATAAAGGAAAACAAAGAAAGAGGATAGATAGGTGAGAAAGAGACTGAGAAACAAGAGAGAGAGAAAGAAAAATATCTGCCTCCTTTCAACATAGAAAGTTTTATAAGTTCTTTGATGAAACTAGCAATTGTAGGGAAAAAAGTTTTCTTTGAAGTAGTTGCTTTAATTATCACAGTGCCTAATGCAGTACCTGCAGCTCTTGCTGCAGTGTTTAATTGTGATTATTCCCCTAGTTTGTGGAGGTGTTCCCATAAAACATCCTCATATGCTTTAAGGTTAAAAAAGTGACCCCTTCTTTCTGCTCATGCAGATCTGCTATGATAGCTGATTTAGATATTTAGAGCAATGTTTAGCCAGTGTCAAAATCTGCCAAAACATCTGTTTAAGATTCCCATGACTGACACCTTAAATACTTGACTACTTAGTCCCATCAAAGCCTGCTCAGCTTCAGCTATCAGGGTAGGGTACCCCACATGCCTTTTTTGTGGTTTTATTAATGTAGATTCTTCTCTCTTTCCTAGAAAGTACCATCTCAAGGTGCAGTCCCAATAGAAAAACAATAATGTCACATTTCCTATAGCAAAAAAGCCACGATCCCTTCTGTTCCTTCAGCCATAGAAAACTAAGTGGCCAGGAGAGAAAGAAACCTGTGTTAGTTAATTTTTCTTAATATCAGATTTGAGATTCACTAAAAGGAATTATAAAGACATATTTGCATCAATTCATGAAACTTATTTTTAATGAGTTTCCAAGAATTTATTTATCAAAATATGCAGTCTCCTTTCTAGTTGTCATGTAAAGCACCCTGTCTGTCTTTAACATGGATACCTTTCTAGACTTGCCTTTAGATTCTAGTGATACTTTTGAAATGGCAAATTGTCACCTCTCACAGATTAATATTTGGAAGGAATATCACTTGGAATAAGTCCATCTGAAAACTTTGTTTACTTGAGAGGCATGTCAAATATGGATTAAGTCCAGGCAGGGCAGGAAATTGAACTGCTAGGAACCTCCCTGCAAGAGGGACCCCAGAGGGACTGTCACTGCTTCATTCCCTTCTAAGAAGAGAATGATTTCTTTAATGTTTTTGTCAAATTTTTTTGATCATTTTTGTCTCAAATGCTGTAGGTCATGTTGAATATAAAGACTGCACAGTGCTCACTGGTTTATGTTCTGTGTCTCAGTTGGCTAATACTTGTATTCTTATCATACAGAATGGGAGAGTCTGCTGTTCTGTGAATTTGGAATGTCTTCAAAATAATTGAAGTATCTATTAAAATGGACTCATCGCAGGAGAAAAATGGACAAAATGACCATTCAACATGAGGAGAAATAGGAGTTGATTTTTTTAACACAGACAATTACCAAAGTCTCCACTGAAGAAGATGTTTGGGGGTTGCCTTTTGGACATACTACTTGCTCATTCTTGCTAACCTAGTCTAGGTGACCTACAGTGCTGTGCATTTAAGTCTATGATTGTTAAAAAGAAGTTTCCGTGTTGTAAATCACATGTTTCCCTTATCATATCATTTGCAAATACATTTAACTGATCTTATGGTAAATGTTGATATATTTTTTTTTGCTTTATTTTGTGTACTAACATAATAGAGACTTGGCACCATTTATTTATTTATTCTTCTTGATTTTGGATCAAATTCTAAAAATAAAGTTGCCTGTTGTGATCATTGTCTCATTCACTGTGTATTTAGTGCTGAGATTCCCATGAAATGTATTAATGAAAATATGTGTGCTGCATCCAAATGTATCAGCTTCATATTTCAAATAGTTTAACATACAAAATGCCTACTCATTCAGCTTACAAAGGCTGAAGATAATTAAGATACATGAAAGGAGGAGGGACCACAAACATAATTAATAATTATTTGAAAAAGGAGTCTTTCCTTCCTCTTGCAAAGAAACAAATGAAGTGAAACAAACTCTTAACCCACAATTTATAGCAGCTTTGTTTAAACCCTTTCTTGGCAATGAAAGCAAAATGATTTTTGCTTCAGTTTTATATACTATTTAATAAGTAAAAAGGCACTTTGGTTGCTATTAATACAGTTATCATCATAATGCAGATATATTACATAAGAGTGAATTAAGAAATCTAATCAATTTCTTCAGCGTTCATTTTTTACAGCATATTGGGTCTGATAACCAAGGCTCCTGATTCCTTTCCCACCCAGTGCTATTTTCCACTAAACCATGTTGCCTCTCATGTAGATGAAGGGGACACTTTTAAGGAAATATATTTGCATGCTCACTCAGTAGTTACAAAAGAATAAGGAATGTTTGCACTTGAGCCACTAACATTTTTATGAATTGGCAGCTATTAAGTTACACAAAATGAATAAAATGTGTAAATGACATTTTGTCTTAGCTGGGAAGTCAAATTTAGATTGACTGAATTAAGTTAGTTCATGGATTTCTGCTTACACCCCTAACATCATAAAAACATAACTAGGCTGGGCATAATAATGGTGCATGCCTGTAATCCCAGCACTCAGAAGACAGAGGAGGAAGACTCACATGTTCAAGGCCAGTCTGGACTACGTAGAAGATCCTGCCTCAAAAAAAGATGCAACTTGTTATGTGGTCATGCTAAAAATATATTTGTATCCTTGCTGGGTGTGATGATATATGCTTATGATTCTAGCACGCAGAAGGTAGAGACAGGAACATCATGAGTTTGAGGCCAGCCTGGACTACATAATGAGACATTTTTAAAATAAAGAATATCTAAATCCTAAATAATAGAGCTATTAATTTAAGATAATAAGCTCAAATCACTATTATTCTTTGGAATTTGTCCAATGGAGATGATAATCAATAGTTTTGGGGAAATGGAGTCCAGTATATGAAATCAGCTTCATGTGATGAATTGCAACAGCAGTCTAAATAGTACATTTGACAAAGACTGATATAATATGGTAAATTAGAACACATCTCTATTTTATTGTATTTCCTTAAATGGAAACTTGGAATGAAGGATTTGAAAATTACTGTTTTGAAAATATATATGACAATTCAATTCAAACAAAATATTTCAATTTGTGTTTGAACAAAGGTATTTACAAGAATTATTTGTGATTGCCTATGTCTGTGAATTGACAACCCACAGACTTGGGTGTCAAATCCAGCGCCTGCTTGTTGATTGGAGCTCAGGTGAGCACATTCATTTGTATATTGTCTGCAACTACAGAGAGAGAATGCAGAGTTGATTAGTTCCCATGGATACTGTGTCACTCACAAAGCCAAAACTATTATTGTTCCCTCTATAGAAAAAGTTTGGTAACCTCTGGTATAGATAATGACAGAATACTGATGAATAGGGTAGAAAAGTTGATATTTTTCCCTCAAGAAATTCTTAAAATTCAACAGATTGTATATTTGCATACTTACTTAGTGGCTTTAGTATTAATGGCACATCTTAAAATATCCTTATTTTACAAAGAAGAGTCAATATTTTCTTTTCTTTTGACACCTGATGAGGTAAATTTGTTCTGAGCTAACTTGATGGTTAAATGTTTTTAGAATTTAGTAGCACAATTTAAAAAATCTGCTCGTGTCAATAAGGGATATAGATCCTACAAAATAATGGATGACATTGCTTATTAAAAGTTATTTAGCTAGGCAAAGTGAAGTGTACCTGTAGTCCCAGTCACTTAGGAGGCTTGGGCAAAAGTATTCCTGAGTCCATGAATTTGAAACCAGTCTGGCAATATTAGTAAGACCCCATCTCATAAAAAGTATTGAGTACCTTATATTATAATGTTCTTTACCATGTTCTAATAGGGAAATAAAAAGACGAATAAAATACAGCCTTGTTTTAAAGGTCACCATTATATGGGCATTTAGAAGGTACTAACAATCTTCAAATCCATTAGGGGATCCTATTGAATATCTTCTTGACCCAAAATTTTTTTTAAAGTTACTTTTTAAAATCTAGGGGCTGGAAGTCAGGCACTGGTTGCTCATGCCTGTAATCCTAGCTACTTGGATGACTGAGATCAGGAGCATTGCAGTTCAAGGCCCACCCCAGGCAAAAAAGTTTGTGAGACCCCATCTCAGTGGAAAAAAATCTTGGTATAGTGGTCTGTACCTGTTATCCCGGTGATGGCAGGAATCTTAAAATAGGAGGATCAAATCCAGGCCAGTCTGGGCAAAGAGCAAGACTCTATCTCCAAAATAACCAAAGCAAAGAGGGCTAGAGGCATGGCTCAAGTGATAATGCATCAGCTTAGTCATTGAAAAGACCTGAGTTCACAACCCCAGTACTGTGGGGAGTGGATTATGAGAAGCTTATGAGAACTTGACATAAACACAGCTGTACCCAATGACGGGCAGGCTGAGTTTGGCACTGCCCCAGCCACAGAAGAGTGCAAAGGTAAAAGGCAGCACAGCTGCTTTCCTACATTGCTTATGTTTAGAGAAGTAGGAACTGCAGGTTTCTCTTGTTACAATGTCATACCCCTCCCCTAGAACTGTTGCTCCATCTCCTTGTTTACCACTGGATATAAAAGACTTGCTGAAGAAGGATGGTGGGGGGGAGGAGGGGAGATTGATGGAAGGTTTTTTGATGGGGTTTTGATGGGGGATTTTGATTGGCTGCCACTGCCACTGTCGCTGGCTGTTGTGTGTCTCCATCAGAGCAGCTTTCTGCACCAAGAACTTTATACACAGGCTTTAGAAAAGCTAAGCTAAAAAAAGCTAAAGAGAACATGGGACAGTAGAAGCCTAAGGACAGAGACTTTAAGAGTTATGCTAATGTAGTTTTTAGATGCAGCTGCTGTTGTTTGTCTGCAAGTCTGAACACCTAGACTTTAAGAAAGCTAAAGAGAAAACATGGGACAGTGCGAATCTAAGGCAGAGACTTTAAACTATAGAAAAGAAGAATGGTTTTAAAGAAAGACTTTAGAAATAAGGCCTTAGAGAACAGAGAAGAAAAGAGAAGTAAAAGAAGAGTTATTAGAGAAAAGAAACAATGAGGCTGCTGTGTGTCTCCATCCAAGTGCCCAGCACACCTGATCCCAACGTTTGTCTATTGTTTGTCCTTTCTGCATCTCCTGTTGCCTCCAGTTAGGTTGGTAGTAACAAGAGTGAGAAAAAGTTCGCTCCACAATACTGCCACAAAAAAAAAAAAAAAATAAAAAGAAATCTGGGGAGTGGGGAGGTAGCTCACTGGTAGAGAGCTTGCTTATTATGTGTGAGACCCTGGGTTTAATCCCCACCTCAAAAACAAAAAATAAAAACAAAAATCTACTAACTCTCCTGATAGAATGTTTGGCTACTATGCTGCAATTTGCAGTGTAAAATGAGTATTCATTTAATGAGCCAAAGCAGTGTTTGACAAATCTTTCTCCTTAGAGACCACAGCCATTGTCTGTACCAACACAGTTGTAAAGATGCTGACATACACATTGGCAAGAAACATAAAAAAATACATAAGCAATTATAGCTCTCCTCCCGTAATTACTAGTGTGAAAGCATTGTGATTTAGGAGAGTAGAATATGAGTCTATATATTAACTAGATATATATCAATTAAACACAAATTTTGTCTCATTTTTTCCTTATAGGTTGCATATGAATTTGAATACATATATGCATATAAAATATGTATTTATTTTATGAGTTGCATATGAATATAGTATTCATGTGTAACCACAATTCACATATATGATATGTACTATATATTTTTATATATAATATAAAATAATAATATAAATAATACAATAATAAATATAATATTTATTATATATATTTATACATATATATAATATATTTTATACTTCCCTACATATTCTTGCACTTGATAGGTCTGCACTTAAGTTATTGCTATGTATTTCCTAATATTTATTTTCTTTGTGTTATCGTTATGCTAGGTTATGGGTTAGGCTATAAACTAACTCTGTTTATAGTTAGTATCTAGCATATAATGGATTTTCGGTTTAAGTGTTTCAAATAATGATTTCATATTTTTGTCATATACAGAAACCACAGGATACTGGAAACAACCCACCCTAGTGTTTTTCAAATGTTTTTAAGCACTAAAATCTGTTTAAAGAGCAAAATTTATTCAGTGCTTCAATATAAAAAATTGGATAAAAGCAAGGTTTCTTTGGGTGGAATATGAGTAGGACATTGGAACTCCTTCACATACCCCACCATGATTTTCAGTTTCACCACAGAACAGCTTAAAAGCCACTGTCCCAACTCCTCACTTTACTTCTATAAATTAGGAAACAAGTGCTCAAAGTGGTTAAGTGACTTGCACATAGTTCATAAATCATTAATCATAATTTTAGAACTACCATCCAATCCATGGTAGCTTTTTAACATCTATAAGCCTGCCAAGGATTTCAAAGTTTCTTCCACATTTCCATGTCAAGTAAGCTTTTTCTACTCCTAAATGGGTGACATTAAAGACAATCATGGATGAGATATAGTATCTGTTATTATCTCTGAGTTTCACATCCCTCCTGACTATGATACTGCTGTGTGAAAATTCTGATAATGGTTCTGTGAAACATTCAGATTACAAAACCAGACAGCATATCTAAATCCACAAGAGCAATGAGCCACTTATTCAGTCACCTAATTTCAGGCTTTACAAGAA